TAACTCTGATGCATACATTATATACGGTGCCATAGATATAGGTGTAATACCAGGTACTAAATTTATCGTGAACTCAACTTTGCGATTAGGAGGAAAATCACCAATATTTTCAGGGGAAATATTTGGGAACTCACACATAATAAGAAGATTAAGGATTTCAGCTTTGCTCTCTACTTTCAAGGGAGATAACATCATGAGCACTTGATCCTCTTGCTTCAAGGACATATCTACTTAGTTAGCGCATATAAACCTATAATTTTTACCTTCCTCAAACTCAGGAAACAACATGGTTTTATCAAAACAATTGATATGAATATGGTTGCACTCTAACTAGTTCATTCCCAAAATAACATCTAGTTGACTTAGGGGTAAACAAATCAAGTCAACTCCAAAACCTTTACAAAAAATGGACAAAGGAGAATTCAGAAAAATAAACAAAATGGTCACCGAACCATTGCTTAGAGTGTCAATGACCAAACTACCATTCATAGAAAACACTACCAGGTTTAACTTGATAACACAATCGTGTGATATGAATGAATGTGACACACCCTATCAACGATAGCAATCAAAGAAATACCATTAATAAAATACGTACATTGAATCAAGTTATCTGACTTTGAGATTTCTGCACCACTAAGAGCAAAGACGTTTTCCACTAGCTTGCGTGGCACCTTATGCTTTCTTCGACTTTTAGCATTGGGTGCTTATGTAACCCTACTCCCGACATGTAAAACAAGTTAGATATGTACTCTTTTAATTAGCAACATGATGTCATAATTTCTCACACTTGAAACACGTTAGGCATGGTTTTTTGCATTCAGAGGCACAATGACCTAACCTTCCATACTTGAAAATTCTCATATGAGTAGAAATTCCTCCACCACTTGTTTCACTTCCATTTCCGACAGCCTTCTATTGGAACTTATGATTCCCCTTAGCAACTGGAGTCATATACGGTTTGCCACGGCTCTGATCCCATTCTTCTTCTCATTCACACTCTTGTAGTTAGCGAATCTGGATCTACTATCCTCGTCATAAATTTTGCATTTGTTGACCAGTACCGAAAAACGACGAATATCCTAATATCCGATGAACTGCTTGATCTCGGGATGTAGATCACTTCTTTCTGCAAAACCAACCATAAAACGAGTTGTAACAACAAAGCAAATAGTGGTTACTAGAAAATAACACCAACAATGCCAACACACATGTTATAAGCAAGGTATTCTGTAATTATAACACTTAAGGTTCAATTGACCAACTTACTCTAATACCAACTATTTAATATCTAAAACCACAAAATATAATTTATAACACATTCAGAAAATATAAAAATTTAATGTAATAATATTAATATATTCTAAATCATTTTTTAAAACTACAATAATTATAAATAATATCTCAATAAAACATATGGTACATGGGTTGAATAGACAAGTAATTGTTAATGTAAAGCTTATACTAATATTATCTTAATTTTAACAATATACAAATTTAATCCATACAAATAGAATAATCAAACAAATGTCATAATTTTGTATTAAAAACTGATATTTTGAATAACAAAATAATATAATTCACTAGCAAAATAAATGACATCCTAGTTGATACTTATTTAAAATGTTATCCCTTTTTAAAACTATATTATTTTGATTTTAGTTTTAAATTTTGATCTTATCTTAATTTCAATAATTTTAATATTAATCTTATCTTAGTAATATTCATATTAAATTCTCAGTTGAAAATTTCAAACAAATATGACAACTATATAAAATCCACTTCATACAAAAGCAACATTGAAATATTTATTATAATAGTTAAATTGAATCTAATACAAATATTAGTCAAAACACTTCTTTATTTTTTGTTATCTCTAACTTAAATAATATAAACATGCCAACAATGATTATTAAAAGTTGATGTGTGCAAATTGCATGCAACTTTTCTAAGATTTTGGGGTAAATTTAGGAGTATCGGATAAGAAAATGGTGGGAAAAAAAAGATAAGAGGGTCCAAAGGAAAGAAATTTTTAAGTTTTTCTCCAAAAGAATTGTGACAAGTGGCATGTCCAAATCTGCATATGATATTTAAATCTATTGAAAAAATAAAATAAACTGAGTTATTTTTAATTCATTTAATTTAGTGGCTCATAAATCTCTTTGAAAATCAGAGCAATGATGATTAACTGCATGCACGTCTGTGACATGACGATTTGATGGAAAGTAGTCATGGTGACTAAAAATATCTTGTGGATGTGACATGTGCAACTAATCTAAACGGTGTCGAGGAGTTAAAAAAAATGTCACTTTTCTTCCATCTGATACATATTATCAAAAGTGACATTTTTGGGGGTATCTGTAAGCCTGAAATTTTTAGCTAAGTAAAAATTCAACAAATTGATGGTCAAGCTACGTTGAATTACTGAGTTTCTAAAAGCTTAAGCCAAAAGCTCTAACTCAGTGGTTGTATTGAGTTGTTGGTTCGATTGAGTTGTAAGTGGAGTTAAGGGAAAAAATGGTTTTGAGGAGTCTTAAGAACAGATCCATAAGATTAGAATCGCTCTCTCTTCCAAACATGTTCAGAATTTTGAAATATCACATAATAAACTTTGACATGAAGTCGAAGTAGATACTTTTAAGTGTTAAGAACTTAGGATAGTTTTAAGTCCTTAGACTGTGATTTGAAGATGTATCTGCCTTCGAAGAAGGCAGGTAACACTTTCAAAGACAACTATCGCCAGTTATCGCCAAGTTTGTTTGGTTTTTCAGCAGTTATATCCTTGAAGTCGCGTTGAGGCAAGTTGGAGTATGAAGACCTAAATAGTGGGGTACGTGTCATATTTATTGGGTTTAACTGTTATCAACAGTCTTCTTTGCAATAGTATATAATGCAAGCTTATGCATTGTAGTCGAGGTCGCAAATTCTCACAAATTCTCTATGCAAATTCTCACAAATTCTCTATGCAAATTCTCACAAATTCTCTATAGAACCAAAATACTGAAGGCACATAGCGAAAGGATTTGTGAGACATGTGAGTCTACGTCCACCATTTTAACTTTATGCAAATTTTTTTTGTATTCAAAGCATTTACATTAAATGTCTTTTACTTCATTTACTTTATATTTCGTATATTGGCTTTATCCAAAATTTATCTTTTGCATTCAATTGGTCGTTATCCAAACATTTAAACCCAAATCACACACTTTTCACCATAATTTGTCTTTGCACAAATTGTCTTTGAGATTTTTCGAGTTAATTTTTTAATTGAACTAAACTCGTGATTGTCTATTAAAAATACCAGCAAACAATATAATGGTGAATTTACTTTGGTTGTATTAGTCACTGTCAGGTGTCAACTTTTGTACTTGATAGTGAACTTATTTTGGTTGTATTAATCACTCTCAAATGTTAATTTTTGTATGTGATGGATTTATTTTGGTTGTATTAGTCATTATCAAGTGTCAACTTTTGTATTTGATAGCGAACTTATTGCATGATGGAATGTAAATCATATCACTACTTTTTATAGATTTGCTTTTATTGGATTAAGTACAACTTGGAAGTTGTTTGAAAAGTAGAGCATGAAATAAATTAAATAGCTTATAAGAAATATATTATTTAAAAACATAATAGCAAAAAATACATTGAAAAACATGATATCTGAGAATAACAAATGAATATAATTGAAGAAAATTGTAGTAAATCGATCAACTGAACTAAACCAAACCAGTTAGTTTAGTTCGTTCTATTTTTCAAAAATACCAAAAACCAATTTAAACCAAACCAAATTGATGAAAATATCATTTGTTCGCACAAATTTTTGACAAAAAACTCCTACTCACAAAATTAACCCTCTTATTTTAAATTCAAATAATTTTGTCCTCTCACATTTTTTTATTCAAAAATGATGACTTGCCTATTTTTTTAATAACGTGTCACAATTATTATTGATTCATCTTGTTCAAAAAATTCATATTTGATGATTTGTCAAACCATTAATTTTAAGATTTTAAGTACAAATTTAAGAAATTAAAATTATTTGAATTTAAACCAAGAGATAATTAGGTGAAAAAAATAAATTAAATCAAATATTAATAATATTAGTAGATTCTAAATTGTTTTTTTAATTACAATAATATCTCTACAAAACATTATATTAATTAGAATACACTGGTTAAACTATCATTCAATTAAAATTAATTATTTTGACACATAAACATTTAAATTAAAAATAAAAGTAAAATATTATAATTAATTATTTTAATAACTGATTCTTCCACTTTTTTCTCTTTCATTTATCATACTTATGTGTGGAAAAAAATTATTTTAATTGAATCACAGTGTAAAATATCGGCATGTATTACAATTAATCTCCCAAAATATATGGTACATGCAGTGAATAAACAATTAATTTTTAATGTAAAGTTTATATTAATATAATCTTAAGTTTAATAATATACAAATTTAATCCACACAAATAGAATAATCAAACAAATGTCAAAATTTTGTATTAAATTTTAATTTTTTGAATAATAAAATAATATAATTCACTGACAAAATAAATGATATCCCAGTTTAAACTTATTTAAAATATTATCCTTCTAGAATTATATTATTTATTTTAGTTCAATAATTTATTATAACAGTTAATTGAATCTAATAGTACTAATATTAGTCAAAACATTTGTTTATTTTTTTGTTATCTCTAACTTAAATAAATAAACATGCCAACAGTGATTATTCTCAGAAGCTGACGTGTCGCAAATTGCATGCAACTGCACGCACAGATTTAGCGACGGGCACACGCCCGTATCTACAGACAAACAAATAAACTTGTTCTTAACAAACCATCACGTGCCATCACGTGTCATCACGTGTCATGCTACATTATGACACGTGTCATACAATTTAAAAACACTTCAACCTTTGTCAAAAAAACATTACTGGTTCATGTTTGAAGAGTTGATTCAAATATTATACTATATCCATTATCCATTATGTATCCAAACCCACATGAACAATCACATCCACTGTTACTGAAAGTTCAAGAAGATGAAAAGCCACGAGAAACAGCATATGAGTCGTCGGAAAAGATAGTGGTGGTTGGGATTGACGAGTCAGTAAACTGTGGCACAGAAGTGCCGCCATTTTCATGGAAGAAGCTGTGGCTATTCACGGGTCCTGGATTTTTGATGAGTATAGGTTTTTTGGATCCGGGGAATATAGAAGGAGACCTTCAAGCTGGTGCCATTGCCGGGTATTCTTTGTTGTGGCTTCTTATGTGGGCTACGGCAATGGGGCTTTTGATTCAGCTTTTGTCGGCGAGGCTTGGTGTGGCTACAGGGAAGCATTTGGCTGAGGTTTGTAGGGAGGAGTATCCTAGATGGGCTAGGAATGTGCTTTGGGTTATGGCTGAGTTTGCTCTTATTGGTTCTGATATACAAGAGGTTATTGGGAGTGCTATTGCTATTAGGATTCTTAGTAATGGGTTTGTTCCTCTTTGGGGTGGTGTTGTTATTACTGCTCTTGATTGGTGAGTTTAGTTTACTGATTTCACTTTTGGTTCTTTTTACTTTGTGTGATTGTGATATGTCCCAAATAAACCTTTGACATGTCTGTGTTACAGTTTTATTCTTCTCTTACTTGAGAACTATGGTGTGAGATCATTGGAAGCTTTTTTTGCTGTACTCATTGGCATAATGGCACTATCTTTTGCTTGGATGTTTGGTGAGGCAAAGCCAAGTGCCAAGGAACTTTTAGTAGGTAAGGTTTTTTTTCTTGTTTATTTCAGTAACTTAAAAAATGTGGTTAATTCGGTTAATTTATATAGTTGAGATGTAGACACAGTTGTCTGAACTCCGTGAGACTGAATTGTTAGAGATATAGATACAATTGTCTGAACTCCGTGAGATTGAGTTGTTAGAGATGTAGACACAGTTGTCTGAACTCCGTGACACTAAGTAGTTAGAGATGTAGACGCCGGCTGAACTCCATGATAAAATATAGTTTGTTCTCTGTTTGTAATTTTTGTATTGGTTTACTTTTAACCCAATGGTTTAACACAAGTAAATTGGTGATTTAGTTGTACTTCTTGCTTTGAAAATGATTCTGAGTCTGATTTTATCTTTGTAGGCATTTTGGTTCCAAGACTAAGTTCCAGAACCATACAACAAGCTGTTGGAGTTGTAGGCTGTCTTATAATGCCTCACAATGTATTCTTGCATTCCGCCCTTGTTCAATCGCGGAAAGTTGATCACACCAACAAAGGCCGGGTTCAAGAAGCGCTTAACTATTACTCAATAGAGTCTACACTTGCCTTGATAGTCTCCTTTGTCATTAACATACTCGTAACCTCCGTGTTCGCGAAAGGGTTTTATGGTTCCGAAATGGCAAACAGTATCGGCCTTGAAAACGCAGGACAGTATCTTCAACAGACTTATGGAGGCGGAGTTCTTCCAATATTGTACATATGGGGTATCGGATTGTTAGCAGCCGGTCAAAGTAGTACTATAACTGGTACTTACGCCGGACAATTCATCATGGGAGGTTTTCTTAATTTAAGGTTGAAGAAATGGCTGAGGGCGTTGATTACTCGGAGTTTCGCAATCATTCCAACCATGATGGTTGCTCTTTGGTTTGATACTTCAGAGGATTCACTAGATGTTCTGAATGAGTGGCTTAATGTACTTCAGTCAGTTCAAATTCCATTTGCACTTATTCCTTTACTTTGTTTGGTGTCAAAGGAACAGATCATGGGCACTTTCAAAATCGGCACTGTCCTCAAGGTTATTTCTTGGTGTGTGGCTGCTCTTGTGACAGTGATTAACGGTTATCTGTTGCTGGAATTCTTCTCATCTGAAGTGAATGGAATAATAGTTGGTGCTATAGTGTGTGTAGTAACTGCTGCATATGTTGCATTCATCATATATCTTATTTTGCGCGCAACTACATTCTCCGTTTGGCAAAGTCTAACTCGGCCACGACCAAAGGCATAATTTCCTTGGATAGTTGAGTGAGTGATGGATCATTAGAACTGCAGAATAGGAAGAGTATTGTTCTACTAGTGGCTTTCATGATGCAATAGGCATGGGTTGTCTTAGTGTTTGTTTTGGCAAAAGTAGCATAGTAGAGAGAGAAGAGAGGAAGGAGAAACTTCTTTGTATTTCTAAGGAAAATGTTTCATATACACCTATTCTTGTAAACTCTTCATAGTCAAAATTGTGGTCAATTCAATTATATGTATTAATCATATTTTAGACAAGAATTGAATGAACAATTTGTTTAATTGAATTAACCATATTTTGCGACATGAATTACATTAACTATTTGCTCAATTAAATTAACCAATTTTTACGTATGTTAAACTGAATTAACTTAGCAAAAAGTATAGCAGGTGAATGAAAAAAAAAATTATGTTTATTAGATCTGTACTTCAATTTATTTAAACTTATTTGAATAAAGTATCTTATAAACTAGGCAAAATATAAAATACCTCATGAAATTCTTTAAAAGCTAAAATTCCTTCAATACACTATAAACAAAGTAATAACAAAATAATGTGCAAATTTGTCTAATTGGTGGATTGAATTCAATATTTTCAAAAATTAAGTATTCAAGGGATACTCCAGGCCTTTTAGTTAAGGGTGTTTAGAGTTTGTTCACAGTGGTAAAAAATCATTTTTAGTGATGTTTATGGTGGTAAGAGAGGATCAATTCACGTGAGGTGAGATGTCTGTATTATGTGTATGTAATGAGGGTATTATGATCTATCATCTCCCCTCAAGCTGTAAGATATTTATTGAGGCTCTTGGACTTTGGTTTTTTAAGGACTAATAACAGCCTACTAAGTCAATGAGAGGCCATTAAATCCCTATTTTCTAGGGAGATGTATATCATTCAGTTGATTTCGACTTTTCTTTAACCGATGAACATTTTTCCATGTTTCTCATGACTAGGCAAATAGGAGAAATTAGGGTGAGATAATTCCTAATAACGGGCAAAGTATAAGTGTCGCCCTCCTGAAAGTCACCACTCTCCCGCACTTACTGGATCCTTCGCAAATATATCACTACACAGTCCCTCAAGCATAAGAGTTTGACAATAGACGAAGAGCTTTAAAACACAAAACATTAGGGCTCATAAGTTTCTAAATCTCCTAAATTGAAATTATATGATAACCTTGACTGACGTGACTTCTATTTCCTCAGGTAAGGTGTTAGACCTCTCAGGTGAAACTTCTATCAAGCTTTTAGACAAGATTTTAAGTCAAGCCTTTTGGGCTAGACTTCGGTCGTGTCCCTTGAGAGAGGTTCCCTCATACGGAGAGTTTATATTAGCTTGTTCGATGGAAATTTTAGTCCTTCAGATGGGGTTATGGCGATTATGGCTGATGAGACTTCAAATCTCTTAGGCGAGGCATTAGACCTCTCGGACGAGACTTCTATCAAGCCCTTAGATAAAACTTTAAGTTAAGTCTCTTGGGCTAGACTTCAATTGCGTCCATTTCGTGAGACTTTATGTTATATCCCTGTTTATTGGTATTTTTAGTAAATAATCACGAGTTTGATTCACTTAAGAGATTAAACTCGAAAAAATCTCAAGGACAATTTGTTCAGAAAAGTTGTCGGGAAAAGTGTTTGTGATTAATCCTTAAATGTTTGTAAAATTAACAAACTGAGCGTAAACTTGAATTGAAACAACGTAAAATTGCTTAAAGAAAGAAAAATAGACAAAAAAGGATAATAAATGTCATAAAAGTAAATGCTTTAATTGAAAAGACTTAAAGAAAGGATGTAAACATACATTTTCTCTCACAAATTGTTTTTCTCTATGACTTGGGTGCTTTAGTTCTATAGAGAATGAATGAAATTGCGACCATGATCATAACAATGAGATCACCTTATATACTAATACAATGGTAACCGTCGTCAGCGCTTATTTTCACAAGATTTGACATGTACCCATTACGTGTGCTTCAGTGCCCTAACTTGCTTATGTCGAGAGTCTTTGGTTGACCCCTATAGTATTTTCTTAACATCTTTAGTATGGCTGAATTATAGACTAAAACACTAAGTCTCCAACATCTTATGGACGTGTTGAGCTCGAAACTTGTCGAAGTGTTGGTTTATGTAAACCTCTTCGAGATTTTGGACATGTTTTGAAGAGATTGATCTAATCGTGTGGGTATCTTCCTGAGACTTTTTTCAAACCAAGCTTTGTGGGTGTTTAAAATACATTATGTCTCATATCATTTGACAAGGTGGTCGAACCATCTTTAGTCGACATGCTTAATGTGTCGAATTTATGCTTAAGACTCTTAACACTTAGAATTTTCATATGTGGTTATCACCATTCTTTGTTGATTTCTTCAACTAAAATTTCCAGGCTAACAGATGCCCCCCAAAAATGTCACTTTTGAACATGTACAAAATATGGAAGAAAGATGGTGTTTTTAGTAACTTCTCGACATTTTTAAAGATAGCATGCACATGTCATATTAATTATACGTTTTTAGTCATCATGACTACTTTTCACCAAACCGTCAAATCAAATACATGTGTGCAGATTGTCATCATCACTTCAATTTTCTAGGACAGTCGTGTGCCTTAAAATCAAATCAACTTCAAAGAAATCAATTAATTTAAACTTTTTCCTAAAAAATGAATGCCAAGTGTTCAATTCGAGATGCCACTTGTTCAGATTCTTAGAGGAAATTTGAAAAGGTTTCTCCTTGTGGCTATATATAAATTGAAAAGATTTCTCCTTGTGGATATATATATGTGCGTGTGTGTGTGTGTGTCTTCCTCATTTCTTTTTCTTTTTCACTATCTGTTAGCCTGAGTTTTTTAGCTAAGAGAAAAGTTAACAAGTTGATGGTCAAGCTACGTTGACACTACTAAGTGTAAAAAATCTTAAGCCAAAAGCCTCAACATATTGGTTGTATTGACCCGTTGGTTCGACTAATTTGTGAGTGAAGTCGAGGGAAAGATTGGTTTGGAGGAGTCTCAAGAACATATCCTCAAGATTAAGATCACTCTATTTTTTAAACATGTTCAAAATCTTGAAAGATCACATAACAAACTTTCGACACGTAGTCGAAGTCGACACTTTAACTGCTAAAGACTTAGATATTTTTAAATCCTAAGACTAAGTGGTTTGGAGATGCATCCACCTTTGACACAAGAAAGAAATGCCTTCAGAGAGAGTTATCGTTAATTATCACCACGTTTTGGTTAGTTTTTAGCAGTTACATTCTTGAAAACGCGTGGATGCAAGTTGAAAACATGAAGGCATAAGTTGTGGGATACATGTCAGATTTATAGGGTTTAAGTATGGTCGAAGTTTTTCTTTGTAATATTATATAATGCAAGCTTATGCATTGTAATTAAGGTCACAAAAAATCTCACCAGTACTCTTTAGAAGCAAAGTACCCAAGTCATATAGCGAAACAGTTTGTGAGACACGTGAGTCTACGTCCACCATTTAAACTTTCTGCAAATCTTTTTATATTCAAAGAATTTACATTAAATTTCATGTACTTAATTTACTCTATTTTTCATTTATTGTCTTTATTCAAAGTCTATCTTTTGAATTCAACTGGTCGCTATCTAAACATTTAAATCCAAGTCACGCACATTTTTCACCGTATTTTGTCTTTGCACAATTTGTCTTTGAGATTTTTAGAGTTAATCTTTTAAGTTAACTAAACTTGTGATTGTTTGCTAAAAATGTAAGTAAACAAATTGGCACACATGGTGGGACCCTTTTGTAAAAAGAGTTTAATTTTTACAGAAAATTTGTGTTAATTTTGCTAAAAAAAAATATTTTTCGTTTTGGAATGGCTTCGGTTGTCGAGTGTGTTTGTGTATGAGGGGTAGAAAGTCTTTCTGAAATGGCACGTCCAATGTCTAGAAACTTTCCCCCTCTCTAGAACAAAGCTCTGAACTTAGAAGAACAACTAGTCGAATCGACGACGGGCAATGTAAAAACTTCAACTTCTCTTAGAGAAATGCTTACCGTTATAAGTTAGATAACAACGTCAACTATATCACCAAAAATGGAGGTATCCTTACCATTAGTAGTAAGCGTACCCACTACCGCTAGTGTAACACCCCAAATTTATTAGAATATTTATTTAATTTATTTAAATATAAATATTCGTATTTTTGGTGATTTTCGATGGTTGGTGGGAAATATTGAGAATTATGGATTTTAGGTTATTTATTTAAATAATAGTATATGATATGAATATATTGGTATTATTATTAATTTAAATAAATATAGTAACTAAGGGGAAAATGGACATTTGAGGAGGAGTTAGTGAGGGTGAAGTTGGAAAGCCCAATTTATAGGCCCAAAGTTAGGTTTAACAAAAAGGAATTTTTGAGGGAATTAGGATTCATTCTTGTTAGATCGTGAAAAAGAGAAGAAATATAGGCTAGAGCTCTGGGGAAGAGGATTAAGGCAAAAGCTTCGCAAGGTTTTTGAGAATCAAGGAGAAGGCTTAGAGTCGGCAATTAAGGTATGAGGAGTATTGCGTTCATTGTTTTCAATATGTGATTCAATGTATTTAGAGCTGATTTAAGGGTTTGAGGTTGATTTGAGAGTAAAGGAAATTAGGCCTTCGTGGCCAAAACCTATTATTGAGGTTTTAACCGTATAGGAATTTGAACTGATGGTCTGATAGGTTCGAGGTCGATTTGGGTTTGAGGGAAAGTAGGCCTTCGTGGCCAAAATCTGTCGTTGAGGTTTCAGCCCTGTAGTGTAATTAGATTGTGAGAAACTCTAATGACTGTGGTGTAATTGTAAGGATTTATGGGAATTAGAGCGTGAATATGATACGGGATTGGTCTAATAAGTCGTAGATTTTGTGCCTTTATCGCTGTAATACCTTAGGAATGATTTTGGGATGTTTTGGGGGCATTGGGGAAGGAAATCGTTGGACTTTTTGGTTGATTTTAGGTTCTGCTGCGTAACAGTGTTTTGTTGTAATTGG